TTTTTTTGCTTTCAGAAAATATTGTCCATATTCATAAAAACAACTAAAAGCAAATAAAAGCATTTGAAATTAAATAATATCTTTGTTTTATTGAGTTTTGTAAGTTGCAATTCAGAGCTGATTTTCAGGTGGAGGGGCAATTAAAAAAAAAAAAAAAACATGATTTGCATTCCTCAAAGCCTTGTGCTTTTAACTATTGTAATCACTAAACCTGCCGCGATCGAATTTCTAGCGTTTTCAGTAATCAGTGTTGGGGGTGTAATAAATATAAAAGAAATATTTCTGCCATGACTTTAAGAAAAAAAACAACATATTTATAATAATTTTGATAGTTTCTGAAAGTTTCATTAACATCCGACAATTATTTTTATTTTTGCAAGATTTTCCAAATTAATGTGTGTCATACAAAAAACAAAAACAAAACAAAACAAAAAAACGTGCTAAAAATTGTATGTGTTACTTTACTAGTTCCGGTGATACAAAGAGAAACAAGGTTTTTTTTTATCAAAATTTAGAATGTTCTAAAAAGAAGGAAAAATTTTAAATAATAATTAAAATAAACTTTGATCTTTCCTCTTAATAATAAGCATTTAGACGCTAAAATTTTGTTTTCGTCAAGTTTGGCGTCTTTTTCATCAGGCTATGCTCTTTTTTAGCGATTTCATGGAGGTACCTATGTTAAAGTTATCGAAGCCTATTGCGAAAATGGACGTTCAAACAGAAATGCATTTCGTGATTTTTTGGTCAACATAATCGACCAACCGAGAGTGCAATTGGAAACGATGTAATGTTGTTGTGGAGTGGTTCAATTCCTGCACATGATGACGAATAGAGGGGTCTGGATTTTTTACCACATTCTCGTGCACTGCAGCAATGTTTTCATTTGAACGGCGTAAAGGAGCACGCAATGGTGTTTTCACATCTGCCACCGACCCAGTTTGTTTGAATTTACGAACAATTTTTCCAATTGCACTCTTGAAATTTTAACATGTTGTTTCATTGTTAATCTTTCCATGGTTGAAATTGTCAAAGACTTAAGTTGTTAAATCTGAAAGAAAAAGAAAAAAATCATTAGACGCTTAAAATTAATCCACATTTAAAATCGGTCCAAGTTATTGGAACACCCTTTATTATGACCATTTTGCTTAAAATTCATATTTTCTTGGAAACTTTCTGACATATTTCAGTGAAGTTTTCACTTTCCAAAATTATAGTTTCAAAATATAGTTTAGAAATAAGAAAAGTGCAGCTTCACGTCCCTTCTTTTTTGTCGAAGGAAAATTCCTCGAAGCGGTTTCACGTGTTCTACTTACCTACAACTTAATGTGAATCGATGATGCAAAGTCTTGAAATTAACTTGAAAATGAAATAACTTCAGTAGTATGTTATCCACCCTCTGACAATGAATGTCAAACAATCTCCCCACGGAAATTCATCTCTTTTCCCGCCAGCAGAAATGTGGTTCTACAGACGGATTCTAAAGATTCCATGGATGGAGCGAGTAAGCAACAAATATGTTTTAAAGAAAATGGCAACAGAAAGAACACTTCTACTCAGAATCAGGAAAAGACAGCAGAAATCCCTTGGGCAAGCAATGATAAAGGCGGGTTTAGAAAACTTAACATATTGATAGCAACAGAGATACTTCTCTTCTTGTTCTTGTAACGGCATTCAGCCGAGGTGGGTTGAGCCGGCTCCAATATTGGAGTTTCATGGGAATTTGGAATTCACAAGCGGTCCCCAACCCGCATGTATAGCTCATGAGATTTGATTATAGTAGTGAAGGTTTCGTGCAGGACCATCTACACTTTTTGAAGGGCCGGTTACAGAGACCTGGTGCACTACGTGCCACAAGGTCTCCAAACGACCCTCCGCAGGTTTTGAATTCAGAGTTTTCCTTCTCCTAGACCAGTTGCCATCCAAGGCTATAGAACCCAGTCTGTCCTGCTATTTACCCATAGCAACAGATATAGGGCAAGGCATCGAGCCACTCACCTGATAAATTTTTGTCAATGGATGCCAGAACAGGGTGCAAAAGGAGAAATCTTGTAAGGGGAATAAGGGATAGGAAGTTGTGGGGAGCTATGATCACCTGTATTCTAGGGGAAGCGACAAATTAAAGAAGTATGAAGATAAATATTGTAGTTGTAGTTTTCCAATATCGGAAATCATTCAGACGGAAGGAGTTGCTATGACTGTTCCATTATCTGAAATTATTCAGAGGGAGGTTGTCGCTTTGGGTGTTCCGTTATCTGAAATCATTTGAAGGGAGGGAGTCGCTTTAGCTGTTCTGAAATTATGTCACATTAAAACTAAAATAAAAAACGTTTTGACATTAATATGGCGGAATTTTTTCGGCGCGATTATTTATTCGTTTTGTAGATTTATTTCTGTTTGAAATCTAGAATCGCAAAGATTTATTTTATTCAGGACAAAATGGCAGCAATCAGTAAGCTTCGCCTCTCGTCCTGTTCATATTCCTTCTTGGACTTTCGAACAGAAGTAGAAGTTTATCCCTTGTTTCCCGTTTAGAACTGGATTTCCGGTTCCTTCTAACACCTACTTTAACGAAATACGCATAACTTCTCCACCTGAACTCAGAAAATTTATTCACCATTTTTTCCCTCTCGAAATAGGAGTAGATAGGTTCGCTTATCGTCCAACTTTATCCCTTGTTTCGTGTTTAGGATTGGGTTTCTGGTACCTTCTAAAGTCTGAGTCATCTTTATACTTCTAACGACTCTTATTAAACTACGAAATGTTATTCATTATGCATTTATTTATTTTTTTTCTCTTCCAATAGGAGTAGATGGGTTCATTTATCACTCAGTTCATTCTTTTCCCCTGTCTTTTGATCAGGAGAAGACACTTTTCCCTTGTTTCTCGTTTAGAAATGGGGTTCAGGTTCCTTCTAACGTCGACTTCAACTCTATACTCCTAAAGTCTCCACATGAACTCTGAAATATTATTCGTTTGTTTCTCTTCAAACAGGAGTAGAGTGGTTCCCCTATCGCTCGGTTCACACTCCTCCCGAATTTTTGAACAGGTGTAGATGTTTGATATAATGTAATATGCATACACTTGTGTTCCCCCTCACTGGAATATGATTGGCTGGTGTCCATCATAAATACCGACGGACATGTAGGTACGAGAGAGCCAGAGCCTTAGTCTGAGAGCTAAGTCTATAACGACGCCCATTGGACTACGCCATTGATCTACACTTCTTACCTGCGACTACGACGAGTACCAGTCGATTACTGCTACCCTATTCTACTTGGTTATAGTAGCCAAAACCACTTAGCTATTTCGTTCAAATATATCTCTTTCCGGGACATATCAATGTTTATCCCTTGTCCCCTGTTTAGGATTGGGTTTCTCGTTCCTTTTAAGGTCTACGTCACCTTTATACTTCTAACGACTCAGACTGAACTCCGGAATGTTATTCATTATGTATTTATTTATTTTTTCTTCTCTTCCAATAGGAGTAGATAGGTTCGCCTATCGCTCGGTTTACACTCCTCCCCGATCTTTTGAACAGGATTAGTGGTTTATCCCTTGTTCCCTGTTTAGGATTGGGTTTCCGGTTCCTTCTAAAGTTTACTTCAGCTCTATACTCTAGAGTTAGCCGTTCAATTCTTGCCATTTCAGTAACCCTCTACCTTACATGGCTCTTGTATTGAGAGAATAAATAATATCCTTAATCTAGAAAATAAAATGAGAAAAATATTTCTCAGTTGTCCTCGTGACGCCGAGTCTTTGGAAAGGTTTGGAATAGATTAGAACGGAATATTAAACTAAACAAATAACATTCTATTCAACACTGACTGATTGATTTGATTTACTTTTTTTTTTCAGGCTATTAATCTTTTGCTTTTAGATTGTAATAAATTTCTGGAGATAATAATGATTTATTGATACAAATGCTACAAGTGAACCAATAGCTGGTGGGGGAAGATGTGGATTCACATTTTTCCCAAGTGTATCGGCGCGTGTAAGTGAATATAACGAGCCCAACTGGAATTGGAACTCGGCTTTCTGAATTTGAATTCCGAGCCTCTATGCATTTCACCCCCCCCTCACGCCCAGTTTACAGATCCTGGTATTTCCAAGCTGTCACCCATTTAGATACTCACCAGGCTAGACGTTGCCTATTTTCAGGGATTGTACGGGAATTGATGTTACAACGGAATATGGCCAGATTTTGAAACTGGGATAAGCAGATAGATAATGAAACACACACACACACACACACACACACACACACACATATATATATATGTATATAGATAGATAGATAATGGAGAGAGAGAGAGAGAGAGAGAGAGAGAGAGAGAGAGAGAGAGATAGGTGCACTGATGGTATGGTAGATAGATAATTAACACACTTAGATTGATGCATAGATAGATAATGAGTACACTTAGTGAACACACTGAGAGAGAGGGATAGATAGATAATGAACACACTGAGATAGATAATGAATACACTGATATATATATATATATATATATATATATATATATATAATGAACAAACTGACTTTAGATAAATAATGAACACACTGAGATAGATATATATATATATATATATATATATATATATATATATAGAGAGAGAGAGAGAGAGAGATAATAAACACACTGAGATTGATAGGTAGATAGATAAGGAACACACTGAGATGGATATATGGATAGATAATGAGTACACTGAGATTGAGAGATAATGAACACACTGAGATAGATAGATAATGAACATATTCAGATACATAGATAGATAGATAATGGATACAAGTACGGAAAGAAAGCCATGAAAATCAGCTTTATAATTCCAGGCTATTCGAAGATAATAATGATTTACTGATACAATCCCTACTATAGCTGGTGGGAGAAGAGGTGAATTCATACGTTTTCCAATGGTATCTGCGCGTAAGTGAAGATTTAGACTCTGCTCTACGATTTCCAATCGCCAGCCGTTATCCATTAAGTCCCTTGTCCACCGCAAGCTTACACTACCTGGTATTCCCAAGCGGTCAGCCATATAGATACTGACCAGACTCTACGCTGCTTAACTTCAGTGATCGTTCAGAAACCGGTGTTACAATGTGATATGGCCGTAATCAAAAATTCAACAATGAATAATTATGATTTCAACATCACCAAAATGGTAATTTCCAAGTCGTAAAAATGTCTCTTTTTCTTTATCTCTAGTTTCTCTCTTTATATCTCCCACTTTAAGAAGATCTGATTTACAGGAAGCTATGAAAAGATAGATGGCGCTGTTAGTCAAATAAAAGTTTCCCATTATCGTAACTGTATCCATTTTCTTTTCCAGTCCAGTCAACTCCTCACTCCGTCCGGATCACCGACCCCGTCAGCATTATCAAAAGGAAAAACACATAAAGATAAGTCAAATCACAAATGTGCAAGGTTTCTGCGACTAAATAGCGTACCCTCGGGAGTTACTCTTTTACCAACGACGGTTTTTTGCGAATCAAAGAACAACGAATTACCGAATCGTAAATTTATGACGTCATCGCATCAAAAGAGAACATTTCTTTAGAAAACATCAATATTATAATTATATCCAGATGCTACCGGTGCCATTTGTGTGGCGCGAGAGAGAGAAATAGGTCATGGCTCAGTTTGTTTTCTCCGAGCTTAATTGGGTTATAAATATGACTGTTTATGCGATAGAATTATACGTTTGGGAAATAATGTTAATAGGCTGATGCAAAAATTCACAGCTGTATTATTTGCACGATATTAAAGAAATCTAAAAAGCGTCTATGTAGTTTTTTTTTTAAGCAAGTTCACCGCAAGCAAGGCAGCAAAGCCACTAAGACTCAAGAGTTAATTGAATATGGAAGAATTAGAAAGCAGAAACATTACTAGCGAATTGGAATGAAAAAGAGTAATCAAGAAGACAGAAAATAACGATTTTGCAGATTAAAGATGGCTGGAAAGCTTGGAGCCGAAAGAGAGTTCCACAAGCAAGAAATGCAAGAAAAGAAACTGTTAGCATAGAACTTGCGGTTACATGTAGCCAACTCAGCTGTAAATACGTGAGATCTCTTCTCCAGTCTAGTTTTGCGCTTAAATTCAGAGTCTAGGAACCATAGCGAAGATCTCTTCCGAACAATTACCATGAAAGTATTTATAGAAAAGGCACAGGGAAGTAACTTTACTGCGGTGGGAAAGTTATTGAAGCTGAGATGTCAGATCAGGAACAGTAATATTGCTGATTTTTCTTTGGTTTTTACTATGGATCTCTAGATATAAAGCAGGGGCCCCGGACCATATATGTCAGCAATATTCTAAGCATGGACGAATGGTAGACATATAGATATGCAAGATAGATTCTGGAGGGAAAAATTGTATATCACGACACAGTGAAACAACTTTCTTAGTAGGTAACCTAGCAACGGATTCAATATAGTCTTTCAAATTCATGTCCGTTGAGTCAGCTATTTATTGCTTGTGGAAGATATTTAAGTATGCACAAATATGTTATTTAAATATTTCCCATATTTTTTTTTTAAGCGTTTCACCCCAAGCAAGGCGGGAAGCCACTAGGACGCAAGGAGTAACAGAAAATTTGGAGCAAGATCAGATAGGAGAGATAGAAGAAAGGATGAGGAGAAGGGTAGTGGATAGATCAAGGCAACTGGAGATGTCGATTGACATTACATTTGAATAGCTGGAGATTATAGCTCTCAGGGAAACTGGAATAGGGAAGGGAGTTCCACAAGCCAGAGGTGCGAGATATGAAACTATTGGAGTAGAAGAGACGGCTACATTTAGGAGTTTCGACAGTGAAAGGGTGAGAGCGGGATGCCAGCCTCGTAGGGCGCTTGAACTCATGAAGTCTGGGAACCAGCGAATGCAGCTCCTCGGAGCAATTGCCATGAAAGTATTTGTAAAACAGAGTTTGCTAAGTATCGGATAAAGGGCATTTATGGATATAGACAGTGTGGACATCGGAATCAACACTGTATGGTAATGGACACTTTCAAGCCTCAGTGCAATCTTCAGACTAAATTCCAATACTCTTTTAGCAGGCTCTATATATAGCTCACTGGGAGACTAACATAAGTGAGGGAGGAGAAAGAGGTGACCGTGCTTTCTCATTTTTTTTGCTTAAGGCCAAGTAAGTATGTATACATATAGATAGTGTGGACATGGGAATAAACATTGTATGGTGATTGTCTGTTTCACGTCTCAGTGCAAACTTCCACCACATCTTTAGCGGGCTTTATACAAAAGTTCATTGTGGGAGTAAAAGAAGTGACGAAAAAGCAACCGTCCTTATTAGTTACTTTGTTTAAAGGTAAGTATACAACTATATATATATATATATATATATATATATATATATATATATATATATATATATGCCCCATTTCATTGAATGCGACAAAGGTGCTTTGATTTAGTTATTTATGCAATTTCTTATGTCATCCTAGATTTAGAAATTCCTTCTGATCATCTGTTGATATGTGACTAGATAGGTTTATGTATTCATCATGACTGTTGGGAAGTACAATATTTCCTTAGTATAAGTTGCATAACTTTTTTGTAATTATTTATCTATGGTTATGTTCATCATTATTAATACTTATTATAATTATTATACAAAGGAAATATTCTACTTCCCAACAACCGTGATAATTACATAAACCTATCTAGTCAAATATTAACGGACGATCAGAAGGATTTTATCTAAATCTAGGATCACATGAGAAATTGTATAAAAACTAAATCAAAGCACATTGTTGTATTCAATGAAATATGAATAAAAGGAGGATTGCTGCCTAAATACACAAATATATATACACACACACACATATATATACATATATATATATATATAATGATAATAGATGATAACTGATATGTAATATCTGGACAATGTATGCTAGTTGAAAATATGTGAAAATCGGATTTTGATTACGCCATTAATGTTTCCTTCACTAAGAGCATCATCAGAATAACTGAGAAAAAACATAGAAAAATTAATTCGATTGAAGATAGATATCCATGAAAAAAAGAAAATGAAATATGAAATATAATGATTTCTTGTTGGATTATAAAATAAATTTATGGTAAGAAAAATAAATTATGTACATTTGAAGAAAATTGGAAATGCTATTCATTCAAATTATAATTGATGATAATACTATTTTGGTGTTTAGGAAAACATAATTAAATTAAACTTATAATTAAAATTTTATTAAGATATTTAAACAGCATCGATTTTAATATTATTTTCTTTGAGTATTATCTTAGCCTGATTTGAAAAGATGGTATCTAATAGACATTAGAACTGCCACTTACATACATATAGAATTATCTACGGTTTTTATTTTAATGCACGTGACACTTGTATGACCAATGAGAACTGACCCAAACAAAATTGAAAATACCAGTATTTTTGTCTTTCTGTCTGCTTTCTCTCAATCTCTGACAAAACTATAATAAAAGGGAAACATTAGATTGATATGTTTTCCATTTATTCTTTATTGCCCTAGTCAATATATATATATATATATATATATATATATATATATATATATATATATATAAGGGTGTTTCATTAAGATGGATCAAAGTCAGCAGTAAATAAATCAGTGTTATTGGTGAAAATTTATTTATTCCTCTATTAGACCATGTTATTTAAGTCATGGGAATTATATATATATATATATATATATATATATATATATATGACAAAGTAGTAAAACTATTCGTGTGAAGTGTTTCGTCTTTTAGGACTTAGTCCTATGAATTCTTAAAGGGCGAAATGCGTCACACGAAATATTTTTACACATTGTCATACATTTTTCCCCAATATTTTTCTTGATATATAAATATCTTTATTTCTTTGATATATAAACATATATATCTTTATCTCTTTATATATATATATATATATATATATATATATATATATATATATATATATATAAAAAAAAAGAAAGAACAGTAAGATATAAAATCCGGTGTTCTTATAGATATTTTTATTTTTTACAAAATATTGCTCAATGAAGATGAAATTGAACTAATGCTTTTAATTTAATTGCAAAATTAAATTCAGTGTTTTTAGCTTCTATTTTTGAAACATGGTTGGAACTGTGTAGCGAAAAAAACGATATTTTAAATCAATTAATTTATAATATATATATATATATATATATATATATATATATATATATATATATATATATATATATATATATATATATATATATATATATATATATATATATATATATATATATATACCGAGTGTAAAATTGTCCAAATCGTGTAACAGCATAATTATGCATCCCACAAAATGTTTAATATCTAAAAAAAAAACCTAAACTAACTAGAGTTTCTTTTTTCCAGTTTTTCAGATGAGACGTTTGGCCATCTTGATACCATTTTTCTAAAATATATTTTGAATTGTAACAAATATTTTGGGATTGTAGGATTTTTTAAAAAGATAATAATGATTTATTAATACAAGCCCCACTAATTAATCTGCTGGAGGAAGAAGAGGTTTATTCATACCTTTGTTAAGGCTACTTTTTTCGTAAGTGAATATAACGAACCTGACTGGAATTGGAACTCGGCTCGTCGATTTTCAATTACGAGCCGTTATCTGTTACATCACCCGCACATCCAAACTTACAGCACACGGTATTCCATTGCGGTCAGCTCTCTAGATCTCGACGTTGCTTAGCTTCGGAGATCAGTCGAGAAAATGTGACACCGAAATCCGAAGGCGGATTCGGATAGCGAAAGATGCCTTCCAAAAGCGATGCAAAGTATTAAGAAACATGGAAATTTTGCTAGAAACAAAGAAAAGAGTACTAAACTGTTACGTAATACCAGTCTTTCTCTATGGTAGTGAATGCTAGACAATCTTCGCACAGATGAAAAAAATGACTTAAGGCAATTAAAAAATTGTTCTACAGAAGGATGCTAAGAATACTATAGACAAAACATGTGAGCAATGAGGAAGTTTTAAGAAAAATGAAAACATAAGTGACTCTTATGCTCACAATCAGAGAGAGACGGCTGAAATTTCTAGAATGCATAATAAGAAGCAAAGGCTTGTAGAATTTAACACAC